TCAAGCCCATTTCATAATGAAACATTCAAACAGCAGCAGAAAGCAATACACCAGGAAAAAATGGACAATTAAAAATCCAGCAATTCAGAAGGCTTTACTGGGTTATATTTATGCCAATCCAGGATGTTTATGAAACTGCACACAGCTCAAACTAATTTTAGCAGATTATTTTATCTATGGACTGATCTCTCCTACTAAGTGCCATGCTATCAATAAAATAGTACAGCCCAACTAGTAATACAGAGGCTTAATTCCATCCAATGAAGAGCTATCAGCTTGACATAGTTGCAGATGTAAGCATGGTTTCTATCTATTTCAACTTCATTAATGAATGGCAAACCAAAAACATACTAACATATACTGCTAGCTGATGATATGGATGTAATCTCCACAATTCTTGCTGATCCATTAAGATTTCAGGTTTAATTTTTCTGCTGATTTACTCCATAATTGGAGTCTTCTTTTAATTATCTATAGACTATGTTTTAAATTAAAGAGTTCACATTTAATATATTCCTGCAATTTGCCCTTAAAATAGCTTACGTCTGAACAAAACACATGCATTAAATTGCTTTTCTAAATTGTGCAACCAACTAATCACCTGGTGCTGATTCTGTTTTCAAGCTTAATTTAGTAATACTGAAGCAATCATATACTAGGGGTACAAGAAGCACAAAATGAGAATTACACTAAGCTTCCTTTAAAGAATAATCATGGAATTTTGTATATTACATTGGTTTATAAACACACTGAATCTATACTACTGTATCAACTTGGCAGTTAGTGTGCATATAGAAATATGTACTGTTACTTTCATATGACTTTATGAATCATAAAGTAGAAGGAACTATTTAGGCCATCAAGATCAATTCAGTGGAGGAATCCAAATTAAAGTATTCTTGACAGATGATCATCCAGCCTCTGCTTGAAAACAGCTAGTAAAGAGGAGCTCATGACCTCCCATGCTAAACAGGTTTTACTATCAAAAAGCTTTTATTATTAGGAATATTTTCCTATCTTTCAGCTGGAACCTGCCTTCCTATATGCAAATAGTTATAGTTGAAGAAGCGAAGGTAATTGTGTTATCCTTGAGTTTGGGATATCCAAAGGAGCAACAACTGAGAAGGCAGATTTGCATACTGAATAACAGATTTTGAAGAACTCAGAGACTGGATCCTGTAGCTTCAAATCCTTTAGGAGAAAAGTGTCCAGGAAGAATGGAAAACCAATTCTGAATATGCAGTCGCAAATAATTCCCACAAAAAGCAAAATGGAAGAAATCTAAAGAGGCCAGCATAGATATATGTGGAGCTCTCTAAAATGTTGACATTGAAAAGGAAAATGCACAGGAAATAGAAGGAGGGAAACATAACCAAAAAAGAATACAATGGAGTACAGTATTCAGATCCTGTAGGAACTGTGTCATAAAGGCTAACGCTCAGAATAAGCCAAGTCATTTTGCAAGAGGTATCAGGAACAACAAAAAAGTTCTCTTTGGGGATGTTACAAACATTATTATGCCACTGGGGGAACAAGGAACTGCAGCTTAGGATAGTCAAGGAAGATAAAAGAAAATTAGCAGGATCAGATGGATTGCATCCTACGGTACTGAAGGAACTAGTAGAGATGATCACAGAACCGCTCTCAGTAATTTCTGAAAAATGCTGGAGCACTAGTGAAGTTCCAGAATACTGGAGGGGAACAAATATCACCCCTATCTTCAAAAAGGGGAAGAAGGAGAACCTGGGAAACTACAGATTTTTCAGATTTTTTTATCTATATCTATATCTATATCTATATCTATATCTATAGAGCATGGTTTTTGAACAGAGTATCAAGCAGCCCATTTGTGAGTATCTGAGTAGGCATGCTACAATTAACAGCAGCCAGCATGGGTTAGTCACAAACAAATTATGCCAGACTAATCTTATCTCCTTCTCTAGTAGAATTACTAGCTTAGTAGATCAGGGGAATGCCATAGACATCCTACCTAGACATGAGCAAAGCCTTTGACCAACCGCTTCATGATATCCTCCTTAATAAAATGGTAAAATATAGATCCACTAAAACTCCTCTTATAGTAATAACAGCTGAATGACTGCACCCAAACAGTGCTCATTAATGGCTCCGTTTCAGCCATTACCTCAAGAAACTATCAAGTGGACTCTACAGGGCTCTGCCCTGGACCCTGTGCTGCAACATTTTTACAATGACTTGAATGAGACACTTAAAAGGACACTTATAAAGTCTGCAGATGACAGGAAGCTGGGAGAGGTGGCTAATGCTTTAAATGAAAGAAGGTTTTTTTTTAAAAAAAGAATCTAGACAGGCTTGAACAGTGGGCTGGAATGAACAGGATGGAATTTAACAGGGAAAAATGTTAACTTCTACATCTGGTTTGGGAAAACGTACAGCATATGATGGGAAAAGCATGTCTTGGCAGTAGTACATCCTACATATTCAACTATCTTGCTAATCAGAATGTCATGGGTTACATTTTCTGATGTTTTCCTGCAGTCAAGGCATATAACATTCTCAACATTCCCAAAATATGCTAAGGAAGTTCTGAAGTCAAAATAAAAAAGTTAATCTGATAAGACTTGTGATTTAAAAATCTGTGTGCTAAGAACTAACAATCATTATATTATTTTCAATATCTATTAACAATTTTTACTAATGACTTCTGTAAAATGTTCTAGTTTTATCAGGAAGGATACAAAGGTGTGTGTGTGTGTGTGTGTGTGTATCTATCTACCTACCTACCTACCTACCTACCTACCTATCTATCCCCTTTTATTATTACTTGGCAAAAATGTGTATCTTCTCTAAAATCTCTAGCATACACTTACCCACTAAAATAATCAAGCTATTCAAGGGGCAGTTGTTTGAATTCACTAGCCTAGGGCCCAGATGAAGAAAAGTACCATGCTTAAAACATTATTTTTACTGTAAATACATTTAGGGCAGCCATCAAGTTCAATACTGTATAGTCAGTAAGTAAACACATGCATTCTGCACACCAATAGCAAGAAAACCAGATCATATCCTCATCATTTATATTATCTATTCCCATGTATTGATTATTTCTTCCTACATGGTAACACAAACCTGAAGGGACATATTGGGAATAAAAAATGGAGATTTCTCTTGCCCTTTTCCATATACTATTACAAGAACCAAAGAGGTCTGCATGACCTACTTTTGCAATAAGCCCAACGGACACAAGCAGATAAGAAAAGCAGGTAGAGTTGGTAGTAGAGAAATAAACAACAGTTTGTTGGATCACTATGAGTCACTAAGTGGAACACACCAGAGAGCTGAGGAACAGTAGAGCCAATACAGTTAATATGAACCAATTATTAGTACTTCATATCTTGCGGGGAACACCCACACACAAGATATAAAAATGTAAGATGTAGGCATAATTTCCCTGTTGCATGTTTAGGGTCTTGGCTAAACCACCATCCAGCCAATCGCCTCACTCACCATAAAGTATGATGATTTGGCCTCTCAGTTATGGCTATGACGTCTGAATTTGACATATGTCATACATCCAAAATGCATCTACTAATTGGGATTAGAAGACCACATAATCAAAAATGTATTTCATTTGGATGAACTTTATACAACTAATTCAAAGTGCTCCAGTTTTTTGTTTTTGTTTTTTTACTGGAACACTCATGAAGCAACATCAAAACACTACACACAAATTGACCACAGAAGCCTACAAGTTGTGACTGAATTATACTGTAGTATTTCTAAACACATATCAAGCTTTCTGTTTCTGTTCATCTACATTGTGTGTGAAATTAAATTTTCATTTTATCTCCAACTCAAAATATGCTTGTGTTTTTCTGCAGCAGACACTAAACACTTGCATTTTCTCTCCATTATATGACACAGCCACTTTAAAACGTTATGTAGAGTTTATCTGGACATTGTAATCGGTCATTATAGATTTCAGTTCATCTTACTACTAGTCATGGTGAATAATAAGTAATAAAGTGCTTGCAAATAAACAGAAACTCCTGGGGTGGAGTTTTGCTCATGCAAATTACACCCCGCCCCAAAAAAACCTTTACCCCTGAAAACTATATGGAACAGCAATAATGTGAGAAGAGAAATTAGACAAAACATGTACTTAGGTAATGAATTACTCTGTTATCTATGACTATTTAGGAATCTTCTACAAAAAGGCTTCATTTAATAGCCTTGTAACTATTTCACCCCAAATGGCAGTTTTGAGTACAGGTGATCCCCAGGTTAAGAACGCCAGGTTTACAGACAACCCATACTTACGAATGGAGCCTACTGCAGCAAAATTTGAGTTAAATACACAATGATTCAAGTTAAATACACAATGATTTGAGTTAATTACACCACACTACTTATACAGTATTATACAATAATACTGTTCCGGCTTACGTACAAATTCGACTTAAGGATAGACCTTGGGAATGGAACTCATTCTTAAACTACTGTTCCGGCTTACGTACAAATTCGACTTAAGGATAGACCTTGGGAATGGAACTCATTCTTAAACTATTTGAGTTAAATACACAATGATTTGAGTTAATTACACCACACTACTTATACAGTATTATACAATAATACTGTTCCGGCTTACGTACAAATTCGACTTAAGGATAGACCTTGGGAATGGAACTCATTCTTAAACTGGGGACTACCTGTATTATGTTAAAATGAGTCTTCGTTTTACACTTTTTTGTTGTTGTTATTGTTGCTATTTTTACCATGGAAAAAATAATTAGGATATATTTATCTAATATTTAAATAGTGCCGATTAATATTCAAAGAGACATCAATATTGCTCCTTGACTCATCTCTTCTGGAAAAAAAATAAATCCCTAATGGGTTGTGAACCCAAAATCCTTGACTAATTGTAAATTCTTAACTAATACTAATATTTATTATACTGTATTTAACTAGAACAATTGCATAAAGATCAACGGTTTAATGAATATATCAAGACAGCTTACCTATATTTGGTGCAGGTGGAGTTTTGGCCTGAAGGGCTTTCAGGGTTAAGAGTAACTTGCGGTGAAACTTGAGCTGACAGCAAAAACCCCAAAGCTAAGATAACAAGTGCCACAGTAGTGCCTATAAGCAAACAAACAAACAGTTTCATTCTAGAATACAGAACAACACACACACGTGTGTGTGTGTATTTATAAAGATAGATATCACCAAAAAACCAAATTTGAGAGTGCATTTTAACAGAGGTGGCTTGACTTTGTCCAGTTTTAAGTTCAACATCTGTGCTCTGAGGCCAATCTTGTACAGTATAATGTTGAAGAAGACTTCGTAACATATGCTTCAGAACAGTTGCAGCACAACAGAGGAAACAAACTTGCTACTTTTGATTAAAATGCCTCACAAACCTAAAAGACTGATATCAATATGGGCCTCAACTCATAAGAAAAGTATGTTATCTGAGGAAAATGGAAGAGTAAACCTAATGCAAGATCTCTAATATCGCTATGTGAAATCTGCAAGGATTTATTGATATGTTCATAAACAAATCCATACAAATTAACATGGAAAATATCTCTGTCCCAAGACACTAATATAAAATATATATTTGGTTAAAATCTGTCCTTCAAGTGAGCTCAGGTAACTGAAATCAGTGACATCCATTTGCATCTCTGAATCTGCCAATAATTCAACATCTCTACTATCAATGGAACAGTTAGCAATTTTTTTTGTACTTTTACCTTAATTTAACTGGCTGGTTCAAAAGATTAATTGCCAGTCATTGGGAAGAAATGACAGGGCTCTTTGTCAGTTTTATCAGGTATGCTTGGACTCTCTCTGAGCGTTGCCTTCTCTGGCAGAAATGAAAGGAAGCTGGTGGATTTCAACTAAATCATGTAAGGCTGAGCTGCATCCATTTCAAGGAAGTTAATTAATCTTTCTTAGAGCCCATAAAAGCCTGTTGCATATAATATTTAATATTCAGACTGTCAAGATAAGTGACATAGTATATGTGATTTGGCATTTTAATTTTTCTTTTCTTTCCCCATATTCAACTCTTTGTGATTACTTTCAGACTGGAAATCTGATGGTAAAGGACCAAGATGTCCTCAAGTTTTACTTCTATTGATTTTTAAGATGTCCTGGGAACCTTTCCGATTGAAAAGTGCAGGATAAATGCATGAAATAAAATTACTGCTATAGGAGCTAAAATGTTTCTGAAATGTATGTGCTGCACCTCATTTACATACTTAGTTTACAGTAACAACAGCAATGAACAATATCACAAAAATTACAATGACAATTGTTAAATTTAAAGAAACAAAAGCCCAAGCAGACAATAACTATATCTGAATGGCTTAATTTAACATGGATTATGGGTATCCTTGTGCTACCTGTTCTAATTAAAAATAAACATATCACAGTTTATTTCATTGCCCATCCATTGTAGACTTCGTAAGTTTCCTTAACATTTTAAAACATATGCAAAAGTATTCTAGCACTTCGTCCCAGAACCAATGACACCTCTTCCACTTCTAGATGCTATCATCCTCTGAATCACATCAACTTCACTGAAGTTAATTACTACTACAGTCCATTTTCAAATACACTTGTTTGCTCCTTAGTCCATTTTGATAAGGTGCAGCCATACCTGCTAAACTTCCAAGTGTGAGTTTGCGACGGCCTACTTTCTCTACAAGCCAGACTCCAACAAGAGTGAAAATGAAATTCGTGAATGCTGTAACTGCAGCAAGCCAAATTGCAAGTCGATCATCTCGAACACCTGACATTTGCATAATGGTAGCACTGTAGTACCTGAAAGATAAATAACATTAAATATGAAGTATATTCACTGATTTGGACGATGGCAATGTGATAGATTGGTCTTTGTTATGGAGAGTAATACATTAATTTTTTTTTTTTTCAGGCTGTTTTCTTTTGGGTGACACTAATTTTATGCTCTGCCAGATACCTTGATTGGGGAGACACAACAAATTTGCTCCTTGGAAGATTCCGGCACTCTAGCACATGCCTAAGATGTATCTTTCAGTATCTTTCAGTTCTATTATTTCAAGCAATCTGTGGGCATAACACTGGAGATAGAACTTCTGAAGAAGTCTGACACATTAATGTAAGTAGGCAGCATATTAAAGGGAGGTATTTCAAACTAAGCATTCCTCACTGAATTTAGATAGCTGTTAATACAGTACCACGAGGTTCCGATTTGGAGTAGTTAACAGGCACTAAACAAGAGTTTTAATGCATTTGTAGTCCATCTGCAGTCCCTATTTTGCAGCTCAACCTGTTTCCCCAATCATGCCTTGAAATCGGCAAAATTGCCTATGTTCAGTGGTGTGAATGTTTGCATTTTCTTTCCTCAAATAAAGGTAGAAATTAATATGTCATTACTCTACTCCACCCTTAACCATCCCCAACCCCTTACAAAATTTCAGCCTGGCCCACCCAATGACAGAGTTTGATCATGTCACTGGAATGCTCTCTATGGCCTCAAAGGCCAGCCTGCCTGCCAGCCTGCCTTCCTTCAAATATGCCCTCCCAAATGAAAAAAAAAGTGTCTCCTGCCCCTGCCTAAACTAGTTTGCAAACTCTTATGACATAACAAAAACAGTTAATGTTTTATAATGACAATCCATGAGCTGTACTGAAATGAATGGGTGCAGTGAAAGAGAACAAGTGTTACATTTGGAGAACCCATTTTAGTGGTTGAGAAGAATTTTCCAGTTTTATTTCTTCTGTTGTCTGTTTTTTCCTTTTTTTCAATTTGAAGGGCCACACATTTTTTTAAGTGGGCAAAGTGTCTGCAATGCCCTGGAAGACCAAGCCAAACATTTTTTTTTTCACGAGAGATGGGGACAGAAGTATTCCAAATTGATATAGATACACTTTGCTTAGCAAAGGCTATGCATTTCCATTTCCATTCTTATTTTAAAGAGACCTGCAAAATATATTCGGTTAAAAAGCAGCCTTTTGCCACTGAATTTTAGCAGCACAATTTGGTATACTCTGGGAACTACCAGGGCATCTCTGGCCTGTAGGCCCAAGGTTGTCCATTCCTATTTACAATTTATACATTTGGAGGTGGGCTTTTTTCATCACTGCCCCATTCTTGGAACTCCCTCCCAGTGGAGCTGTGGCTTGCTTCATCCCTCCTGTGTTCAGGCAAACAAGTATAGTAATTAAGGTAACTGTGTCTGTCTGTCTGTCTGCCAGTAGCTCTCACCATCCTACACAGCCCGTGAGAACTCTGCTGAGGTCCTGAATATACACATCCACTATTTTTTTTAATCCATTTGCGCAGATGTATCCTTTTGTCACAAGATTCCCTCTGCTGGTTTAAGTCTACTGTAGTAGTTACACTGAGAAATACAGAAGTACCGTACCTGGAATTGTTGTTAACACTTTTCGGTATTCCTAATTGATTAGGTAGCTTGTTTATGGTTATCCAATTACTCAGCATAGTTCGAACACACAACCAGCTTTCAGCCAACAGCATTTCCAAAATATAAAACACACATAAATGACTGCATATATGAAAATACAGTCACTACCTTTAGTTGTCTCCAGTTCTGTCCAACCTAATAAAATGTTTTGAATTATTATTAGCCATTGGCAGTCCCTGAACGGTTAATATCTCTACTAAAGATGTTTTCTCTTTTTAGGTGTAAAGCTAAAAATAACAGACATTATGAACCTCTGATGACGCTTCAAATTCCTTCAACTGTTTACACATCAGGTTGATTGGATGGAATGCCTTAATAATGGACTAAAGTAAAAAATTAAAAACAGGTTGAATATAGCAAGCAGCAGCATTCATAATGAAATAATGACGCCAACTAAGGGATCAAGGTAACGCTCATGGCGTTTGAAGACGGATCCAGCATGAAAAAAATCCTCTTACTTTCAGAAATATCTAGGTAAAGATTGCCAGGTTATTCTGATGGCCCCTTGGCTGTTCATCAAGGAGATGGGCAAGTGGGAATCTGTAAACCTTGTTACAGAAGTGAAGAAAGGCAATCTACAATACATTATTCATTACTTTCCCCCTCCTTCTAAGTTTTCCATTTTTTTCTCCAATCAGGAAGCATTTCCTTAGTTCCTCTGAACTATGGGAGCAGAAGTAACAGTAATTCACTGCTTAGCAAGTATCAAGAATCCCTGGATTTTGTATGCTTCTGCAAATGAATCAAAACCTGCATTAGGGAAATATCAAGATGTTGAGAGTAACTCTGCAATTTGCAGGGCTACCAAAAAATTTAAAATTTTAAATAATGCGGGCATCTCTTAGCGTGCCCATGTGTCACCACTACTGCATGAGCTGCATTGGCTGCCAGTTGGCTTCCAAGTGCAATTCAAGGTGCCGGTTATTACCTATAAAGCCCTGTATGGCAGTGGGCCTGGATATTGGAGAGACCGCTTATCTCCAACCGTTTCTGCCTGCCCAGCATGTTCCAGCAGAGGGGGTGCGCCCCAGGTCTCCTCCATTAAATACTGCCATCTTCCGGAACCTAGGAAGCATGCCTTCTGTTGCGGCCCTCACCCTCTGGAGCAGCATCCCCCCAGAGATAAGGATGGCGCCCTCTCTCCTGGGGTTCCAAAAAGCTTTGAAAACCTGGTCTTGGTCCCAGGCCTGAAGTTGATGTTTATTATTTGTTCAGTGGACCCTGTTTTGTTTTGTTTTGTTATTTCTGCTGCCCATTAGATTAATTTAATCTGGGCTTTCTGTGCGATTCAATGTTTTTAGCTGTTTTTATGTTTTCCCTAGTTTTGTATGCCACCCAGAGTCCATTGGAGTTGGGTGGCCAATAAATTTAAACAAACAAACAAACAAATTAGAATGCACAGGAAAATGCAACAGCTACACAGGAGCCTATGGCTATGTCATGTGAATAAATAGTAAATAGGAAGGGTTAGAAAATGAAATTCAACACCGGCAAGGAAGATGGAAAATGCAATGTCAAAAACATGCAAAGAACTATCCAAAGAGGAAATGTCTTGGTTCATACTGCAGAGAGCCTTGTTTTTAAGTGAGCCTGAGAACAGATCAGACGATTTTATGTAGAAATCAATCAGAAAGATCCATGATTATAACAGCTGGGATTGAACACAATTGTATTCATCCCAACACAGGGAGAAAAGCAGCTAAATGAAGATAGAAAATTACTGCTGGAGAGAGAGAACAAAGGAGGAAACCATTGAGAGACTGAATAGAATGAATAGTTGGACCTCAGAACAGAAGCACAATAGACACACATTTTTATAGCGCCTCATTTGATTAATGCTTAATGAAATAATTGGCTTGGTAAAAAGTTTTATAACCTGAACATAGGATTTCTTAGTTGGTGACCTTGGTTCACTCTTTTCCTCCCGCTTTTATAAAGCATGGTTTTTCTTAGATGTTCCACAGAGATTTAAAAAAGACTATCTTGCCAGCAGACTCATAAAACTAAGAGATAAAAAGCAATGGATTCAGGCATTTATTCCAAACCATTTTTCCAACAATCGGATGACATAGCAGCAGCTACACAAATCTCCCACTCTTTTTTGGGAAAGAGTACAACAACAACAAAAACCACATAAATTGATTATCTGAACAATATATAATTATTTTATACCACTCAACACTAGGCAAACTGGAAAGCAGACCCCCTTAATAGCTAGTGTAATTTTCTAATTTTAAACATGTAAGATTATATGCATATAGACCCTCATTTCCCTTTGGGAAAAGCAACACTATGTGAAGCACAGAAAAAGAGTGAGAAGTAGGAAGCAAAAGAAATTAAAGGCAGGAGGTAAAAGAGAAGGAAAGGAAATCACACATTCACCATACATCTCCATTTATTTTTGCACTTGTGGAACATCCTTGTTTCTACCACATCCGCATATTATTCATCTATCGCTTTTTGTTCTTGAATCGTCTCATTGCTCTTTTTTCAAGGGTCTTATCAGGCTGCCCCTTTATTTCAACCCATCACTTTTGTGAAGTTTGTGAATGGGAATTTCAACCCATATATTTGTGAATGAATGAATGAATGGATTATTACTGTCATAGAACAGCATCCTTCATATATTTGTCATGAAATTCAATCCTCGTTCTTTTTGTCTATGACCACCCTTGATGCACTTCTATCGTGCTGGTCACTTACTTTTGTTCAACAGTATCCAGAGGGTGGAGAGTCCAGTGGGTCAGTGTGACAAAGCAGCATCACTCCACCACATTGCAAGCCCAACACCTTTTCACCTTTGTTACGATGTCCAAAAAGTACAGAGCTTGTTTTGTCCATTCATTCAGCACTCGCTCATCCTTAACCCTGTCTCCTTTTGCTTTATCACAGACAATTTCTAAGAACCCCAGTCCCACTACATTCAGCTTACTTTTATGTTTGCTATGACACACCCAACTCTCACTCCCATTTACAAGGTAGAAGCCTGCTCTTACATAGAGGCGTTGCTGCTTCTTTTGCAATAGATCACATACAACCACTATTGTCCTAACAGCACTTACACCTTAAACTGTTTCCATCCATGTTCCTATCTTTAGTAAAAATTCTAGCAAGGTACACAATCATGTACTTGCTATTTATGTATAACTTTCCATCATTCACTTTAATTTTCCATATCAAACATTACTTTGATCTTTAACGTATTTCCATATCCATACTTCTCATTTCATCATACATTCAAATAATATTCACTGCAAATCATTCCGGTTCTCAGACAATAACACAGCATACTGACATCGCTAGCCAATATATCTCTAACCTGAGCGCAAGCATTCCTTAAACATTTATCCATAA